CAGTAGTTGTCGAAAAAATGAACTATAGCTTGCTGCTCCCAGTCGGTCGAAAGTGGCGGATATATAGGTGAACTTTGTCTTGATCTGTGCTGATAGGTTGTATTGGCTGCAGCTGGTAGATTTTGCTGAGACTCATTCGTCACTTGAATTGTAATTGATGTATTCATCGACCGAAAAATCTTATCAGAATCCTTTCGGTAGCCCGGACAAGGTTTTCCACGCCTTTTGCAGCGGTCGCATTCGGGCTTTGCCTCATCACACTAGTTTTGGTTATTCTAACATAAATATCAGCTATCGGTGTTTCGCGTACTTTGACCTTCATCGTTCTACATGCATGACACCCCGTGCTCCATTGCCGGCGTTGGGGTTGAGGTTGGAACATGATCTCGGAACTGACGGAATTGATCTAGAATAACACAGCAAACTTAAGGCGGGAATTGAATGACCGGAATCTGAACAAGCAAAATTCGACGATAGGTTACGTTGAAATAAGGACGCATGACAAATAGTGCGATGGCAGTGTTGAGATTCAGCTGCCTTCTCATGGGTCGAGAAAATGAGGTGACGAAACCAGCCTTTCCCCTTTCGGGGACGAAGGATCTGATATATGGTGATCATACGTATGCGCCTCTAAAGTCGTCACGGCAGGATAAATTAGCATTCTTAAAGGTTGACAGTGTGATGTGTTCAGAGGATGTCGGTGTAAGGTTATGGAAGAGGAAGCAGGTCCCGAAGTACAGCTCCACGACCAACGTTCGTAGATTTTAGCCTGTTGGCCCTCAGTCTTTCGTGATCACAGCAAGGAGTCTGAGACCTACTCAGGACATGCGAAAGAGACACTTAAGCATAGAGAGAAGTATCAGGGAGGTTGCTTCGCCCTCTATGACTATACGTGATGAATTACGAGATATCTCTTACCGTATCTTCGGGGCCTCACTATTGAAGCCTTTCACCCTTCAACATCCGCAAGTCAAACCTAGTTCAGCCACTGATTGCCCTTTCATGCCTCATCTACGCTCTTGAGCTGCTGTTGAGCTCTCTATAACAGTGACATTACAGGGCATCCTGCAGAAAAGCCCGTTTTCACACAGGAAATACACACCAACAATAATCCAAGGCCTGCTATGGGGCCTCTAGGCCTATTCTTGGCGTTCAGAGTATCATCTTCGTAAACATAGCCTATCTTTATTAATCGGAAAACAAGCAAAAGCATAAGACGTCATTCTAGCTTATGACATGTCCAAACCGTCTATTCCTCTTCTTCTTCTTCTTCTTCTTCTTCGCCCTCGTCCTCGCCCACCACCTCCTCCTCCCCACCATCTTCAACTTCAGCCGGTTTGAGATCATCAATTGTTCCACCTTCTCTCTCCAACCTCAAATACTCCTCCCACTCAGGGAACATCTCCTCATCACCATCCCCATCTACTGGAGGTACACCTAGTAACCTACTTACCTTCCCCTTTCCCTCCTTCTCCAATCTAGTCTTCCACTCTTTAACCAATGCCGCCGTCTTGCTAGGCTTATACGTCTGCGAAAACAGGACAGCCTCTGCCGTTCGATTTGTCTTAGTCAGCAACCCAATACATCCCTCTACATCACCGACCTGCCACAGCGCCGAAAACGCTACGTTGTTGGCTGTGGCCGATTCCGCCAGCTTGGCAAGTTCACGAAGCCCTCCTTCGTCAGAGGTAGCAGAGTAGACGAGGAGTAAGGAGCCGAGATCTCTAGCTTTGACGAAGCACTCCTGTGCCAGCTTGACGTCCCACCCCGAGAGTGCTGCGTCGCCCACTGTCTTCCATTTATGCTCAGTGTCCTGTTCTCTAGCAATCTCGGTCGCTTGTTGGAGGTCGCCTAATGAGAGGGCGAGGTCGAAGCGGTGCTCGGGATCTGTGGCGACTTTAAGCGCTAGTTCCTTGTAGCCTTGACCTTCAAGGAAACGGGCAATTTTGTTGTTCTGGTCTTTAGGGACCGAGGGTAAAACTTCTTCTGCAGCTTCAAGATCTCCTCGAAGGACAAGAGTCTGGTATTCGACGACGGCAAGAGAGAGCGCGAACGAGACCACGTTCACGTCTTTGTCCGCGACATATATTCTGGAATCACGTGGAAGGTAGCCGAGAAGGTAGTGCGGGGCGTCGAAGTGAGAAATAGTGTAGGATTGGTCCCCAACGAGGTAGTTGAGGCGGTTAGTGCTGTTTGTGTAGATAAAGCAGTCACCAACCCAAGCACCAGTGCGGACGCTACTTTCTCGTCAGATCTAGGCCCTATTCAATGATTTTTGGATAGCTCACCTCTCATTAATGTCGCAGACCACCTCAAGAGCGGACTCCGCGCCATCTTCGTCGACTTCTCCGTTCTGAACTGCTTCCAAGTAGTTCTCCCTGGAATATCGCAAGACGTAGAATGTGTCTTCCGTGGCGAGGGTGACAAGTTCGCCGCTCTCGGACCAGTACACGCTCTTAGGTTCGACTTCTATCCTCCGCACAAGCGCACCCGTTTCCCAGTCAAACAACCCGATGCCGCCCTGGCCCTTCACACCGAGAAGAATACCGCCACTGAGGCCGTCAGCGGAGAAGCCAACGTTCAAGACGCTTCGCTCCTTGAAGTTGCGGAAAATTTTGACGCTCGTGGATGATTCGCGGATAGCGTAATCCTTATCATTCTCCTTTGATGCCCAGCAGAAGTCCAAGGCAGACCCGAATGCCTGATTACGAAGAGCAAGTGCTGTGTAGATGATGTACTCGCCATCACCGCAAACAGCAACAAATCGACCATTGGGCGAATGCAAAAGTGACTGAGGATAAATTTCCGTGGAGCCTAAGTCCTTGGTCGGAAGGGTGAGGCGCTCAGCATCCTTCAACTTCTCATTGCCCTTGATAACTGCAGTGAGAATTTCATTGTGTCTGGCCCATAAGACCTTTCCTCCTGCATCCATGCTCACTGCTGGCTCCTCGCGACCCATGGAAATGACAACGGCACCATCATCGAAACCAAGAGCGATGCCATTCTTTCCTTTCTGATAAGCGACACACCAAGCCCGTTCAAGACCATAATTCAATGACTGCTCGAGTCTGTACGTCGATGAATGCCAGATCTTGATAGTGCCATCCTCGGATCCAGAAATGATGACAGGCAATTCTGGATGGTACACTGCAAAGCTAACATTTGATGTGTGACCTTCAAGAGTGGCAATGAGTGCTTTCGTGGTGTAGTCCCAGACTTTGACAGTTCGGTCGTCGGAAGTGGTAAGTAGATATGGCTTATCGGACTGGGGATAGTAATCAATGAAGTTCACGCCCTTGGCTTCATGCGCTTCTAGAGTGAAGTTAGGAGTTGCGCTGCCTAATGACCATATCTTGACTGTTCTGTCAAGACATGCAGATGCAAATGTGTTGGGGTCCTTTGGATTGATGGCAATTCCCATGACATAATGGCCATGGCCTTCGAATACTTGTACACCTACAATGCCGTTAGCTGATCCAGAAGGCAAGCACACCACCTCCAAGCCATAACTTAGAGACGGAGAATGAACACATACATTTCCACGACTTATCCCAGTCCCATAGCTTAATAGTCATGTCATCCTTGCACTTTTATCAGCCCTGTCTCTTTGAAACTATTCGACGTCATAACTCACACTAGCGGTCAGCACAAAAGGCTGTGCTGGGTGAACAGCAATGGCACGGATGTAATCTGGATGTGCTTCAAAGGACGTGACCTTCTCCGAGGTGTTGTAGTTGTAGACACGCAATTGAAAGTCATCGGATCCTGCAAACAGCACACATCAATTTCCATATCCACAGCAATGCCATTCAGAGGCAGTTCCCACCTGCGACTATCCAATTCTTCCGCGCAATGAACCGACCGGCTCGGACAGGAACGTCGGTGAGTTCAAATGTCTTGACGATCGATTGGGACACAAAGGACCAGATGTGAACATGTCCTGCCTCAATCAGTATGCTATCCTATCATATTCAAGCGCTTCGCAACCGCTTACCGCTGTATAATGTCGTGAGGATCCATGGCTCGGTAGGATGAAAATCTTTCGCGGATCATTTAGTATATTGCTAGGATTTGTGTGGCAAGTATTCGTACCAATTCCTAGAGATATGTTAGCATTAGGTCACTTTGGGATATGCTGTTCAAGAATCCTCACCTTTTACCCTCTCCGACCGCGCAAAGAGCTGCCTCTGTGTTCGCAACACCCATCAGCAATGTCCAAAGTACCAACGAAGGCGGGAGATATCCTTTTTAGTCATACCTTCACGTCTAAGCGCATGTTCTCTGTTCGAGTTGGGTTGAGTAGAGGGGCGTATTAAGAGACGTGGCTACTTAAAGCCAGTCCGCGAGCGTAAATCGGGTGCCTGAACAGTTCCGTTGCAATTGCGAAGGAGTAAGAAGTACGGGAAATTTTCAAAGGGTGTAAAGTTCACCTCTTTTGGGAGGGAAGGCAGTCAATAAGCTCCAGGCACGCTGAACTTTGGCGATGTGGGTATGGTGTTCTGTGTAGGCGCCAAGACTTTACTGCAAGGACGTAGCCTCACTTGCTTTATTAGGTAACTTTCGAAAGACTGTCGAAAACTGGTGACACTTAATACCTACTCACGTGCCTGTAACATTCTCTACCTATTTCATATCATTTTATTTCCATCAGTTCCGCACAGATATAAGTGGGTTCAGCGAAAGATGAAACAACATATCATGAACACTAATACATGCAAATCTTAATTACTTTCCGTCACAACATCACCGTCTTGCAACAACAGCATTTGTAATGAACTTTTCTTTGCTTCTCATCCACATACTACTATCTACGTTCACAAATCTCCACATCGGTCTCTGCCGCTAAAACTCCCCTTCATGCAGATGCTGACCAAATGCTGCTTCCCCGTCCCGAAACCCCTTCAAGAAGAAAAAAAAGGTCTAGCTGAGAAGCATAGACAGGTATCTAAGAATCAAACTTGGGGAAAGAAAGGTATAATAAAGGGAATACGAGACTAGGACTCTTGAGTGAGAGTGCTGAACATTAGGAGAGAGCTTTGGGCCGTTCAGGCCAGCTTAGACGAGTCTGGCTGAAACTGACCGCTCAATAAAGAGTACTAGGAAAGTCCCAACGCCGTGATGTAATTACACATGGAAGGATAACAGGCAAGGGAGGTGATCGATCGTTGCCCGTAGCTGGGGAAGGATACATCGGGCATCCGAATGTCACGTTCCAAAATAATGATACAGATAGACGTAAAGTCGTGTGCAGTTCGATTGCCGTTTGACAATGAACTCAGTTCCAACCGAGAGAATTCTCGGCCATGACAGGAGCTGAAATTTGTTGCGTTCGTATACTGCGTCCGTTGCTGCTGCTGCTTCCTCTGCTACCTCGGCTGTCACGACCACCAGGTGTTGATCGCCCCGGACCACGGCCACCAGACATCCAAGCACCACCACCCGTCATGGATCCGTACGTGTAGCGGCTGGTGCTGGGAACGGAGCTTGATCGTTGATGCGACATCTTCTTGTTCCTGTACCTGCGTGCGACGAAGAACATAGCAGCGCCGTACGCAATTGCACCCATGACCGCTCCAGTGGCAATGCCAGCCGAGGTAGGGTTGACTTTGCGGCTGGCACTCATGTCACCACCCATTGCACCACCGTCTCCATAGCCACCAGTTGGTGTGTTTGTTGGGTTTCCTGACAGCGTGAGATCGCCATCACCAGGAAGTTTGCCAGCCGGTAGAGGGAAAGCGGTGTTGATGAGGTTGGTCAGGTCGTTTACAGTCTGGTTCTTGTTGTGCCAGAACGGATCAGGTGGATTACGCAGCTGAGCAGCAAGCGTACCGTTCAGATCTGATGGAATCCAGAACAATGCCAAGGTGGTAACGAAACCGGCATATTGAGTAGTGTCGTGCGGCTTCAGTCCATTCATAACAACATCGCTCGTGCTGATATTTAAGGCATCTGCAATTGCGATAGGAAGGAACGTGAAGATCTGGTTGCCACCATCATTGGCGCAAACGAAAGGATAGTTCAAAGGCCACTTGAAGCCAATTTGACCTAAAAAGCCATTTGCGGGTGGACTTGGCATACCACCAGGTGGAGCAATCATCTTAGGCAACTGCGATGGAATACCAGACGTAGTAGGACTTGGTGAAGGGACAGTTGAAGGCTCCTGGATGATGCTGGTCCCAACAAGATACGTCGTCGCACTGTCTGTGGCTGTTGGTAAAATTGAATGCGGTGGAGTGGTCACCTTTGGTCTCGAAGTAATGCCTGGCGGAGGAGTGAAGGAAATAAGCGGTTCGCTAGATGTTGGTTTTCCACTTGTCGGAGGAGTCAATGGCGTGCTGACAGGCGTATCTGATACAGAAACTGCGGTACTTGCTCCCGTAGCGTTCGCAGAGCTTGGCGGAACGCTGGTCGGGGTCGGCGTATCGGTTTGCGCAGGACCAGTGGATGTAACACTGGAAGGCAGTACCGACGGTCCAGACACCGAAATCGATGGAATACTGCTAATGCCGGTTGGGACAGGGATGACTGCAGTCCCAGAAGGAACGCCAGATGACAAAGGCGGCGGCAGAATGCCAGAGCTCGTGCTCGGGAGAATTGAAGGAATGACGGTTTGCAGAGATGACTGTATGCTGGACAAGATGCTACCAATAGGAACTGAAGGAGCTGGTGCGGTGCCAGTAGGAGCTACAACGATACTAGAGACTTCAGATACAATGACAGACGCCGCGCTCGAGGCAATACTAGACACAATACTTGGCAGATTTGGAATCGATGTTGGGGCTTGGCTAGCGACGGATGACACCAGACTACCAACATCTGACGTTATCACAGAAACGGCGCTTGACAGCTCGGAAGCGAACGAGGGCAGAACCGGAATAGGGGTGATACCAGCTGGAGCTGAGGTTGGCGCTGTGGGACCAGGGACTAGGCTCGTGATTCCTACTCCAGTACTTGGGACGACGCCGCTCAGGGATGGAATTTCGGAAGGCTGAAGGGCAGATGACAATTGAGAAACCAGAGACGACACAAGCGATGAGACCAGCGGAATAGATGCAGGGTTGGACTTGCTTTCAGAAGTTGGAATTGGAAGTGAGCCAAAAGCCGTAGTAATTCCAACGATTATTCCAGTCGTGGGCTGCGATACAAGTGGAATGCCTGACGAAGGCAGAAGGTTGCTCGTCGGAAGCACAATACTACCAGGGAGATCCCCACTTGAGCCAGACGGGAGAGGATCGACAATGGATGGCGAAATAACAGGAGTGGGGATTCCTCCGCTCGTACCGATGGAGATTCCAAGGGGAACTGATGGTAAGAGACCGGTTGCAGTGGGCAATGCGCCAGTCGAGCCAAATGGCTGCCCAAGGGAAGCGGACGGCTGCAAAATAGTCTCTGGAAGGCCACCTGTTGAACCTAATGAAGGAACAATGAAAGGCCCAATGAATGAAGATCCGCTAGTGGGTGTGGGCTGGACAATTGTAACGGGCAATCCGCCAGTCGAGCCAACAGGAGGAATAATGGTCTCTGGAATGCCCCCTGTTGAGCCGATGATCGAAGATGCAGCTGGCACAGAAGGCCCAAGGGGCAGAGAAGGCTCAAGGATTGATGAGGGAAGGCCCCCTGTAGATCCTACAAATGGAAGATTGGTAGGTTGCACAATTGAAGAGGGTATTCCCCCTGTAGACCCAATAGATGGTAGATTTGTAGGCTGCACGATCGAGGATGGCAGCCCGCCCGTAGACCCTACAAGTGGAAGATCGGTGGGTCGCACAATTGAAGAGGGCAACCCCCCTGTAGACCCTACAAATGGAAGATTGGTAGGTTGCACAATTGAAGAGGGTATTCCCCCTGTAGACCCAATAGATGGTAGATCTGTAGGCTGCACGATCGAGGACGGCAGCCCGCCCGTAGATCCTACCAAGGGTAAAGATGACGGTAGCACAATTGACGAGGGAATTCCCCCTGTGGAGCCCACAAAAGGGAGCCCTGTAGGCTGTACAATCGAAGAGGGTATTCCCCCTGTAGACCCAATAGATGGTAGATCTGTAGGCTGCACGACCGAGGACGGCAGCCCGCCCGTAGATCCTACCAAGGGTAAAGATGACGGTAGCACAATCGACGAGGGAATGCCCCCTGTGGAGCCCACAAAAGGAAGCCCTGTAGGCTGTACAATTGAAGATGGAATGCCCCCGGTGGAGCCAACAAGTGGTATTTCGGAAGGCTGAACGATCGAAGAGGGTATTCCCCCTGTAGAGCCGACAAATGGGAGCCCGGTAGGCACGACAAACGAGGATGGCAGGCCCCCAGTTGAGCCAACTCCAGATGAAGGCAAAGAGGGCTGTACGATGGAGGACGGGAGCCCTGCAGTCGAGCCAACTCCAGATGAAGGCAAAGAGGGCTGTACGATGGAGGATGGGAGTCCTGCAGTCGAACCAACTCCAGATGAAGGCAAAGAGGGCTGTACGATAGAGGACGGGAGCCCTGCAGTCGAACCAACTCCAGATGAAGGCAAAGAGGGCTGTACGATAGAGGACGGGAGCCCTGCAGTCGAACCAACTCCAGATGAAGGCAAAGAGGGCTGTACGATAGAGGACGGGAGCCCTGCAGTCGAACCAACTCCAGATGAAGGCAAAGAGGGCTGTACGATAGAGGACGGGAGCCCTGCAGTCGAACCAACTCCAGATGAAGGCAAAGAGGGCTGTACGATGGAGGACGGGAGTCCTGCAGTCGAACCAACTGCCAATGAAGGCGAGGAGGGCTGAATGATGGTCTCCGGAAGACCAATTGTTGAGCCAACTACGGAGGAAGGTAAAGGCAAGGAGGGTGGGATAATCGTTTCCGGCAGTCCACCCGTTGAACCAGGCGCAGAAGAGGGCGAGGGTTGAACAATCGTTTCTGGCAACCCGCTGGTAGAAGCAAGGGCAGAGCTAAGAGGATCGCTAGATTGTACCGCAGACGAGCTTCCAGCCGAAGATGGCTGGATTGTCTCTGGAAGGCCTCCGGTGGATGATGCGACTCCGGCAACAGACGACACGATGCTCGCAGCGGACGAAAAGATTGACGAAACCAAGTTACCGAGGCCAGAACTTGATGCGGGAGCCGAAGTGGGTGAAACTACAGTTTCTGGCAAAGCAGCTGTTGACCCAACATTAAGGCTTGCAGTTGAGATGTCTAGGGCAGATGATGATAGCGCTTTTGGACTTGAAGGAATAGGGGTCGGCGGAGGCGGGGTATAAGTAGAGCTTGATGATGGAAGCTCCGAATTCAGAATTCCTGTTCCGACAGAGGGCAGACTTGATACTGGCACAGGAATTACGGTCACATCCGTAACGATCGTTGTCGTGCTTGTGCCGGTAGCTGCACTACTGCTGGCCAAACTCGAAGATGAGGGCACGAGTGAAGAAGACGATGATTGTGACGGGGAGAAACCGAAAAACGAGTCGAAGAATGAGGAGAGATCTCCTGTCGATTGCCGAGTTTCCAGATCGGGTGTGCTACTCGAACTCGATGTAGAGGACGTCGACGACGCTGGCGCGGTTGCGTTGGTCACGATTTGCCGCTTGACATGGCGTGGGAAGTAGTATCTGGGTCTTCCTGCTGTTTGCTGTGGACCTGGTGCTGGCATTGCCTCCGCTGTTGTCAGCATAGGACCAGAGCCAGAGAGACTAGCCAGCACCAGCGCCGCAGCCCATATCGTCGTAGATCTCGGCATGATTTGTTATTATCTTCAACTACTATGTCCTAATATGTATTTCGAAGGTATCAGAAACGAATTTCGGGGTGAATTCGGGAAGATCTAAGTCGGTTAGATGGGACTAGACACGTAATGGGAAACCCACGCACTGTCAGGGTAAAGATTTAAACGAGTGTACTTGACGGATCAAGATTAAGGAATGGACCTGAGAGCGCACTCGTATCAGTAAATATTTAAGACATGGGGCTGTCGAGCGATCGGAGATCAGTTCAAAAGCTCTAGGGATTCTGTGGGCCGACTCACTAGGCTGTCAGCGCAGCTAGAATAAGAACTAGTGCTCCAGGCAGATTCAGGAAGACCGTCGTCGTGGAGAAGAGTTCAGGAATTCGATCTACGCCGTCATGTTAGACGACTGCTGTTTCTAGTTTCGCGAAAACGTTGTTTGACCGTCCCAAGACAACGGTAGGTATCGTCAATTCCCAACTAGGCCGTGACAAGCGACCAGGGGTCGATGATACCACGCGGCCCAACAAAGGACTTGGACGTGGTGGCTCGTTATCAAACGAATCCTCTTAGGATATCACGATTTCCACCTGCGAACAAAGACCGACGGTTAAGGTACTCCAAGCACGCTTCCCGATCCTTCTTTGGCGATGCTTATACCGCTTTATTTGTTCCCGGCTACCGGTACCAAGTAGTATCGAGGTAAAGTCAGGTGGAAAGCGCAAGGCTGGCAGAGTCTTGGAATTGTTTTCTGGCGAAAAAAAGAGCGACGTCCACGTTGGACTGCAATGACCGAATTAATACTGGCTGAATTAAATGCACGAAGGAAATTTGGTTAACGAGAGGTCGTGATTCCGGGGAATCGTGGTGGAATGAACGTGGCCGAACGGCAGGAGTCGTAAAGGCAGGTCGTGAGAAGGGGAAGCGGAGGTCTGCGACGGCGGTGTGTTCGCGCTGCGATTCGATCGACTACAGCGCTACGATCCGGTCGAGTATTGTCGAGGGCCGCGGGAGAGAGAGGGAGGGTGGAGGGTGAGCGGGTCGGAGTGATGGTGGTGATGAGAAGGAATCAGGAAGGGGAGCAGTCAGATTGCACACGCAGCGCCTTGGCCCACCAGAAGCAACGGCGGGAATGTCCCGGCCAGATTGAGAAGAGCCTGGGCAGGGAGGCACGCCAAAAAGTCGCTAATAATTATTTCTCCCTGCAGCCCAGCCGTCCCTTGCGGAGTCCTCTCGCCTTTTCAAAAAACGGGCGCCATCGATCGGGGCACGCACGACTAAGGGGAGAATTTCGGCAGGTGGGTGACCTTTCGTTGGGGCTGCAAAAATAGGACAGCGCTTCTTCGTATTATTGGCAAAGCAGGCCGTGATCATCAGGCACGCAGTGGAGCTCGACAGTAGGTATTTCGTACAGCAACAGAGGTGAGCAGGACAGGTGATGTGTTCAGTTGTGCACTTGAGGGCCTTGTGCGATTTTCATCTGCTGAGTGCGACTGGATCTTGGACGCTGGCCTCTTGTCTCAAGGACTAATTGATGCTCAAGGCGAGCACAAGGACCAGGAGTGTTTCGCAGGAAGGCGGTGCAAAATGCGCTTTCGCTCTTATTATCAAACATACTAAGCATGGGTAAGACCCGGTCCCCTGTCGGTGAATTAAAGGCGCGCGAGAGCAACACTGTGAAGAATAACATCTTTCTAGCGCCCGTCACGGGCTCAAATGTCTATAGCTGAGTTCGTGAAGGCTGTTCTCTTATGCAGACTCTCGCAGTGAGACCTGCCAGTCTTTGGAAGCGCGACGTTGAAGAAGGAGCTGCTCGCAACGGTAGATTGCACTGTCCAATCATGGGTGACATGCGTTCCTCCCGCCCCTGCACTACGCCATGAGCCGTGCGCTTTTCATTTCGGGAAGGCGCCACCTTTCGGGTCTAAGTGAGCCAGCACACCTATCGGCTCTTTGCACCCTCAACACCAATTCCCATGTGCTTCACTTTATGAAATCTGCAATCTATATACCTTTTGATTGTTTCTGCTCTTCAGCCGTCGATGTTAATACCGACAGCGCCGGCTACTGGTTCACACGAGCAACGTCTGCGTGCCGTTCCGGTTTGCTGCGTCCTGGTGTGCGACTCAGTCTCCGGCTGACCCTGCAAGTCCCAATAAAAATGGATGCAGCCACGACCCTAGCCTTCCCATCTTCACCTCGGCCTGTGCCCTCACGCTCCCAGTTCCTGAAGCAAACTGTTGCGACCGACGCTTGTCGATATCAGTGAACTGTTGTTCACGAAAGTGGTCTTCCCGACACTAGGACCTTAAATGTCGAGCAGTTTGTTGATCTTTCTTGCATTCATCCCAATTTCTCAACAGCAGCACCTCTCCTCCTAAAAGCAACAGCTTGGGGGCAGAATGTCACTCCGCGCTTGCGTGCCGTAAAGACATCATTCGTCTCCTGAACCACACCAACCCTGGACCACTCTTCCCAAACGCACCGTCTTCCAAGTTTCCTAAGTGATTTTTTGATTCAGTCATCTGAGTTTTTTTTTTTCCAGGCCTTCTATTTGCTTTTCTCCTTAGAAAAACCAGCTTCGTTTCACTCATTTCACCCTCTCATCTTGATGTCTGTTGTTCTACGCCTCTGTTTCATCTGTTCGCTTGAAGACCTCTTTTTGCCCTGTTTTTGGCAGCAGAGTCCAGAAAGAGGTCAACACTTGTTCTCAGCAACCAAACTTGGACATGTCACCGTGATGATGGGGTTACTTCGTGTTCCTGGTCGCTGGTAGTCTCCATACTCGATCCTTTTGATGCTTCTTCCCATGTAAAGCTCGGCTCGGCAGGTCACAGCAGGCCTTAACCACCCAACGAGAGTCATGATCCATAGCACTGTCAGGTCATTAGTGAGCAGGCACGCAGGACAGAGAAAAAGTGGCACAATGAAAAGAGCAAGTCTGACTGCAGCCCTCCCACATCCGTAAGTCACATTTATTGTTAACGCTAAGCCCTACGAAGCCTACAATGGGCATATCGTACGGTCAGACGTACTGCAGGTTGACGCTCGACACTCTTTGCCTTATCAGCTTCCCTATGTTCTGATTGTAGACCAGTGAATAGACTCGTTCGTCTCTGATGTTTCGATATGTTCTTGTTGGCATCTGAGTAGCCCCAGCTTATCTTTCTCATAATATAATCAGCCTCTTTCAAGGCACTCTGTTACTGTTCCATGTCATCTGAATCTTTACTGCGGTAGACCTCTATACCAATCTGTCAATCCAATAGTGCCTTTGCGAAGCGCGGACTGTCAACCATCTTAGCTGAAGCTGCATACATGACAACGAATATCTTGGCATCGGCCCCTCTCATGCCAACTCCATAGCGTTGTCCTCTCCAATTATCCTTCGTGATGCCTCAATGAACTTGGAAAGGTGTACGCAATCCTGTGCCGTGTCCCGGAGTTCATGTCTGTCATCATACGGACCTCCGCAGCCTCAACTTCCGCTCTGTACGAAGTTCAACGATGGCATGCTCTGAGTCAGCTTTTTAAGCTGAACCACCCAAGCAAATCCGTCGGTAAGTCGAGAACTGTGGGATAGGAATGCGATGACACCAGGCTCTATCTTTGGGCCTCGAACTGCGTAGTATTTCCTTTTTGTTGCGAGCAGTCCGTCCCGAGCCGGATATGCAATGCGCATGTCGCTGCTTGAATTCCATGGAACCACACGCCATAAGTTCGGTATTCACTGACCCACGGTGTTCATGTGCTCATTCGAAGCCGATACTCACAACAGAAAGCTGGATAACTTCGGACATGGTTGTTTCGGGCTTCTGAGATACAGCACAAGAACAGTAAAGCAACTCTCACGATCGGATGAACAGTATTCACGTACGAAAAAGAGCTCAAACAGTCATTATTTTACACTAGAACCCTTCCAAAGCAATCGGCCCTCACCAACACGCAAGAACGGTTGCGAGAGGATATGAGCCGCGTCTACTTGCAGGCGACAGTCTCAACATCGGCGCCATGACGATAT